CCCAAGAAGACTTTCCACATCAAGCAGATGTTCACCTGCACATCTGCTAATGTGGTATACTGCATCCGCTGTACCCGTTGTGGCCCCCTCTACATCGGGGAAACCAAGCGGAGGCTTGTGGACCGCTTTGCAGAACACCTACGCTCGGTTCGCAATAAACAACTGCACCTCCCAGTCGCGAACCATTTCAACTCCCCCTCCCATTCCTCAGACGACATGTCCATCCTGGGCCTCCTGCAGTGCCACAACGATGCCACCCGAAGGTTGCAGGAACAGCAACTCATATTCCGCTTGGGAACCCTGCAGCCCAATGGTATCAATGTGGATTTCACAAGTTTCAAAATCTCCCCTCCCCCCACCGCATCCCAAAACCAGTCCAGCTCGTCCCTGCCTCCCTAACCTGTTCTTCCTCCCACCTATCCCCTCCTCCCACCTCAAGCCGCACCTCCATCTCCTACCGACCAACCTCATCCCGCCCCCTTGACCTGTCCGTCCTCCCTGGACTGACCTATCCCCTTCCTAACTCCCTACCTACACTCACCTTTCCTGGCTCCATCCCCGCCTCTTCGACCTGTTTGTTTCCTCTCCACCTATCCTCTCCTCTATCCCTCTTCTATCCGCCTCCCACTCTCTCCCTATTTATTTCAAAACCCCCTTCCCCTCCCCCTTTTCTGATGAAGGGTCTAGGCCCGAAACGTCAGCCTCTCTGCTCCTATGATGCTGCTTGGCCTGCTGTGTTCATCCAGCCCTGCACCTTGTTGTCTCTTGTTCTCATTGGAGTTTGGAAGAATGAGATGAAACTTATTGAAGATTTTTAGGGGAATTGGCAGCGTAGATGCAGAGAGGTTTCTTTCCCTTTAGGGGACAGTCTAGAACCAGGGGACATAATTTTAGAGTAAGGGGTCACTCATTGAACAACATTACGTTTTCCCACACTATACTCCATCTCTCAGATTTTTGCCCATTTGTTTACTTTGCAAGTTCCTTATGTTGTCTTCATGACATACATTCTTGTTTATCTTCATGCTATTTGCAAATTTAGTACTATGCCTTCACACCCATTATCTAAGTCAGAGATGTAAATTGTGTAAAGTTGAGGCCCCTGTCATCACATGCCATATATACATTCACTATTTTCTGCCACCTAGCCTATCTTCTTTCCATGCTTCTATGTGCATTTAATTTTCCTTTGTGGCACCTTATCAAATGTATTCTGGACATCCAAGTATAGTATGTCTACAGACTGTCCTTCTCTACAGCCTTCATTGAGCTTCAAAAAGTTAAATGTTTTCCCTTTTCTGAAGCCATGCTGATATTCCTGATCACCTTGAGCTTTTCTACATGTGCTAGATTGTGCAACACCTATTGGGTCCTCTATTAAAATTTGATCCGGGGCCAAGAAAAATGCTCAGCTTTGAACACTAGAGAAGGCACTACTTGAAGGGCATCTTGTATTTGGAACTAATGTGATAGAGGTCAAAAACTGTGTAGTTGAAAGAAACTTGAATCACTTCTCAGTCTTTTCCAGTGATTTTTTTTTTTCTTTTGCTTCTGCACAGCAGAAATCTCCAAAGGTAAAATGTAATTCCCCAGTGTAATCCCTGCTGTAATTTCTAATCTGTTGCTTGGAAAGGTACAATCCCAGGGATTGTTAATTTAATTCTGAAGGGAACAAGTAGATAAAATACTGCTGCAGATTTTTGTTTTTACGTATGACTTGAGGTAAAAGAATATTTTATTATGTTCCATCAATTGCTTGCTTTCAGCTATTTAGTTTGGGATTAATTGCACTGGATAAGAGGCTTAGGATAGATGTTGATAGTTAATATGTTGAGTAATTTAGTAGGAGTTACTATGAAGCATGTGGGTAAGCTTTAGTTAGAAAGCAGTCCATTACATAACACTAATAAAAATTCCAATGATTTGATAAATTACAATGCCTGTTATTATTAACTGGGCAATGGTAACAAATTACAAAATAACTATTATTTATCTATGTTTGAAAGACTGAGTGATCTAACTTGAAGTTGACCATTTTTAATGCCAGCATCCATTTGCTACTTCATGCACTTACTCATTTTGAAACTTTTGTAAAAGTTCTGAAATAAGAACAGAAAAGGCTGGGAATACTCAGCATTACTGGCAACATCAATGGAGAGTGAGAGAGAAAGAGAAGCAGAGTTCATTCTGTTGTATTCTGTCTCTGTTAAACTCTGTTAAATGTGGTATTATAGATGATTGAAAATAGGGCCAACATTTTTCAGAATGCCCAAAGGCACTTAAAAATCAATAAGTTGCTTTTATATTTTACTGACTGTTACATAATTAAATGCAATAACAAACGAGATGGATAAGCAGTTAATCTGTTTTTATGGATAGTAGGAACTGTGATGCTGGAGAATCTGAGATAACAAGGTGTAGAGCTAGATGAACACAGCAGGCCAAGCAGCATCAGAGAGCAGGAAGGCTGACGTTTCGGGCCTAGACCCTTCTTCAGAAATGTTTTTATGAATCTGTTTTTATGATCGAGTTTGTTATGGGTGAAGTGAAAACAGGATACCGGCAGAACTTCCTGCTCTTCAAATAGTGCAGATTTTTTTGTCACGTGTGTTTTACAGTGAAATACAACAAAATGCAGTGAAAAGCTTTCCTTTACCATAATCCAGTGTCATTTTGACAGTCTACAGATAAGAGAAAATAAAAATATATAGCTTCAAGAGAAGTCCATCTACAAAGAAGTTCTGAGCTGGCTCAGAACCACCACCACCTTGCTACGTCAATAACATTAAAGGTGCAAATCCTCAAGCGCCATCATTTGCTGCTGGGCCAATTCACCTTCATCACTGGTGTGCCTAGCGTGGGCAATGTCTGAGACTACTGCAGTCGATGTTGCCTCAGTGCTATCCCGTCACTGCTTCGCTGCTGCCACCGCCGGACCCAGCCAACGACGAAGCCGCTAATCCTCCAGGTGCCATCTTTCACCACTGGGCCTAACTCTCTCTCACATCCGGGCTATGCTCACTCTCTTCCCCCGTGCTGAGCCTGCTCTCCTTCCTCACAAGTCTCACTGCTGCCACTGACACACAAACTCACAAGGTGGGGCCTACTCTACTCCTGCTGAAGACACCAAAAGAGGCTTTTAAAGAGGAAAAAATGAAAAAGAGCAAAAGGAAAAATGCAAAAGTGGAAACAGTAAAAAAATAGAAAGCAGATGGAAGTGGATGAACCCAGAACCAGAAGCTCAAATGCAGCAATGCTACTCCACAGCCATCTTGGCCAAAGTAATACTTCAATCAAAAAGCAGCATCTTTGATAATGCAGCACAATATCAACATTAAGCTGAGGTATCAGCCTGGATTACGTGCTGAAATCCTAGTGTGCTTTTGCATCTATAAATTGCTGACCTGTAGATTAGAAAGGTGCAACCAAGGCTGACACTTCAATTTGTCATATGTGTAGACCTCCCTTTATCTTGGCATGATGGATCAGTTCTAATCAATTTGAATTATTTTGAGAATTGGTTTTCCTCCTGTAAATTGAGACCAAATTTGAGGAGAATCAGTCCACAAACTTAAAAAAAGGACAAATTTAAAAATAATCTATTGCCTCTTTCATAAATGAGGAATGAAAACCTCTTCCTATGCCGTTATAAATCAATTTAGTCACTTTGCATCATGCTGCTGTTTGCCTGAAGTCTCATTGTTGCCAGTGTGCTGACATTAACATCCCTCAGCTTGGCACGTATTGCTACTGTTGGAAAATAGAACGTAGCCTTTTACAGGGGTCCAACCAAGTATCCTTGTCTCATGAGTGTTTTCTCTTCTGTTCTTCTTTTAAATTTGTTCTAAAGTATGTTCCGCTTCACTGAATTTTTGTACTACCTGCTATCACACACAGAGCCACTTCTGAATTTCATCCCCAGATAACATTTTTTATTTCAATATTTTCTCTAAGTAGAAGTGGCTATCACTGCTCCAACAAATGTACTTTGTGTTATGCTAATCTGATTGTGATAAAGGAAGAGGTCTTTCAAGAAACTTCACAGAGCATCTTGTAAATAACAAAATAAAACTTCTGGATTTGCAAGTTGAAAGCAGCTATTGTTTTCCTCAGACTCTGTAATTGGCCAAAATATCTGTTTAAACCTCTTAAGTTTGCAATGTGACTAAGCATTGTTCTATATAATTCCTGTGAAATGCAAAAAAAATACTTAGGCTGCTGAAAGTGGAACTGACATCAACTCCAATGGCAAATCAGTAAGTTTATGACTTTTCAGTAATAATTGTTATTAATTTGCAATTTTCTAAAACAACTTAAAAAGAAGCTACAAAGTATAATTTGTTAATTGGTGAAACATGTAAATCTTACAGAATTGAACATCCAAGTGGTGGCTATAGGAAGTTGTTTGAAACAGTCAAGGAAACTGCTCAACCGCTGCCAGCCTGTGTTAGAGGTTTGACATTTCTATTTAACTTTTGTTTTAAGAGTCAAATTTGCAAATTAAGAGTTAGAAATGTCTGTTGTTTTACTTTTTACTTTTGCAATTTGTACCAAAGCTAATTTGTACAGATAATCAGATTTATTAATGTTCAGCAGTAGTGCACAAATAAACTCTTAGAAAAATGTCTGCCTGCTTTCTCATAATGTTGTGGATTACTTCCAGCAGGAGAGCAATTTCATTTTCTAAATATTTTCATCCTGTAAAAGAAAGGAGAAAGATAAACCCAGCAACTATAGGTTAGCTAGCCTGAAGGCAGAGTTGGGAAAACTCTTGAGACATTTATCCAGGATAATATTAATTGACCCTCAGAAAATGATTGAATAACAGAAGAAGGTTAATATGATGTTGTTAAAAGCAAATCGCATTTTAGAGTCCAAGATGAAGCAATTGAGAGCCTTGATGAGGGAAATGAAATTAATGCATGCATCATTTTTTAAAAGATGTTTGGTAAAGTAATGCATAATATATCAGCTGAATTTGAACTCTATGCAATTAAAGGACAATGGCTGCATGCATATAACGCTGTCAATGCAACAGAAAGGAAAGAGTAGTGGCAAACATTTCTTATAAGACTTGAGGGCAGTATACTGGGGTATCCCCAGTGGGTTTTGTTCAGACACTACTATCTTTGACAAATTTATGAACTGCGCTTTGGTAAGTATGGCATAATTTCAAGATATGTAAATAGTACAACATTTGGAAGCATAGAAAACAGTGAGGAGGACTGCAACAAATTTCAGGACTAGTAAAATGGGCAGACAGGTGGCACATTAACAGGAGTGTGGACTGATTCATTTTTATGGGAAAATGAAAAATGACAAAAGCCAAATGATATGATTTGAAAGGGAATACAAGAAGCAGGAGAGCAATATATCTCTGTAGGCAAATCATAGAAGGTGGCAGGAGAAATTGAAAAATTATGTGAAATCCTTGGCTGTATAAATGACAATACAGAATAAACAAACAATAGTAATCCTTAAAATAGGTTAGTGTCCAGGTGAAGTGGCCAACTCTGGGAACCATATTTGGGCAGGAATCCAAGGCATTGAAGATGGTGCAGAAAAAACTTAGAAAATGGTACTGGGGATAAAAGACTTCAGTTAAAGGAAGAGATTAAAGAAGTTGGAATTGTCTCCTTTTGAAGCAAGGATTTACAACAAGTGTTCAAAATCATGAAAACTTTGATAGAATAAATAAGAAGAAACATTTTCTCAAGTAAACTGTTCTCATAATCTGCAGTAGATGCAGTGATGGGATTTTTACTTTCAGAGTATTTGCATCTGTTTGGCAATATTTACATTAGCTCCCAAAATAACCTGTGGGTAGCATAGTACTGAAAGATTTAATAAATGTTTATTAAAGCTTCTGCATTTTAATACATACATAATGATGTCAGGTACAGTTGTCTAAGCCAGTATTGACGATTTTGGTTACAAACTGTTGCATGTTTCCCTCAGCATCTTGTTCAAGATGCACCTTTAAGATGGAGGCTGAGATCTTCACGTTGCTATGTCACATAATGATATCAGCATGTCTCTTAAAGGTATATGCGTACTAGTTGTGGCTGTAACAAAACATTTCCCTTTAACCCGACAATAAAAAAGAAATCTCAAGCAAATATTCATTGTTGTACATAGGCTTATGTTGTTAATTCAATAATTACATAAACAGGTAAAATGGAGTTAACAACTTTAGCAAGTCAAACTTTGAAATAGCAAATGAGAATTTGTCAATCATCCTGAACTGGAATCATATTCCCTTCTGGAGAGGTGCATCCTATTCTTGGCTGGTAGGGCTGACAACTTGCTTTTCTTGCTGTTAGTTGCTGTCACTCAATATCATCGCATAATTATTTCTGAGCTTTCTTCCTTGCTCTCTTTCTGTTTAATTGGCATATAATACATTGGTCTGAGTTAGCTTCTGTTCCTTTGCAATGTAGCAACATAATCAGTAATGACTTTGTATGATTTGTGATACAGGCAGCAACACCTGAACTATTTGGGTGCATGCCTGTTTATGGGGGTCAGAAGTCAGAATTCTTTGACACCACTTGAAGCTAACCAACATACCTTAAAAAGAGGTGCACTTTGTCTGTAGATGACGCTTATCAGGAGATGAATAGCTACAAGACCTACAGGCCATCAAGCTTTTCACTGCTGCAGTGGAGACCCTGATCCAGCTGCTCAATAGTAAGAGGGAGATTCCATTCTTTTGAGGAGGCATCTGGGAAACACTTGGATACAGCCAGTAAAAGAATGCACGACCAGGAGGTTAACTTTAAGGACACAATTAAAAGGTTGACTGACTTCATACAGACGGAGTATGATGTGAAAATACAAGAAGTTGTCCATTTTGGAAAAAACACAAAAGCAGAATATCATTTAATTGGAGAGAAACTACAGAATGCTGCAGGACAGAGGAATTTTGGCACACTTGTATATACATCACAATAAGTTAGCATACTGACCACAAATAATTAGGCCAATGGATGTAAATACAGCGGATGTCCAAAGAGACTTGTGCATTCAGGTGCATAGATCTTTAAAATGCCATAAAACAGGTGCAAAAAAATCAAGAAAGCTAGTGGAATGCTACCTAAATATCTAGAGGACTGGAGTATAAGAATGCAGACTTTATACAAAGATTATGCAAAACCCTAGTTAGACTCAATTTGGAGTACTGTGAGCAGATCTGGGCACCACACCTTAGGAAAGGAAGATTGGTCTTGGAAGGAATTCAATGTAGGTTTACAAGAATGATATGTGGACTTTAGTGGTTAAATTAGGAGGGGAAAATACACAAATTAGACCTGTTTTCTCTAAAATTTAGAAAGTAAGGGCTGACCTGATCAAAATCTTCAAGATATTAAAAAGAAAACATAGGGTTCATAAAGGCAAGGTATTACCACTGTTTGGGAATTCTAGAACTAGGGGCATAGCCTAAGAATTAGGGCCAGACAAGCAAGAGAGATGTTAGAAAGCACTTCTATACACAACGGGTGATAATTGGAACTCTCTTCCGCAAACAATAGTAGATGCTAGATTGATTGTTAATTTTATATCTGAGATCAATTTTGCTAATCAAAGGTATTACAGGACTTGGGCCAAAGGAAGGTATATGGAGTTAGGCCACAGATCAGTCATATTCTTATTGAATGACAGAACAGGCTCAAGGGCTAAATGGCCTACTCCTCATCCTATGAATGTTAGTCTTTATTACAAAAAAGTAGAGGATAAAAATAAGAAAGCGTTGCTACAGATTTACAGGGTGTTGATGAGACTACACTTTGATTACTGTGTACACTTTTGATCCCCTTATTTAAGCGGAGGGAGATATTTGTATTGGAGGCAATTCAGATAAAGTTCACTAGGTTGATTTCTGCATTGAAGGGATTGCCTTATGAAGAAAAGCTGAGCAGGTTGACCAATGCTCTGGAGTTAAGAAGAATGAGAGGTAATCTTAGTGAAACATATAAGATTCTGAGGGGATGTACAGGGTAAATGCTGAGAGTCAATTTTTCCCCTGTGACGGAGACTAGAACTAGGAACCACAATTTGGGGTCTCATTTAAGACTGAGAAGAGGAGATTTTTTTCTCACAGAAGATGGTTAATCTTTGGAATTTTCTAAGCCAAATGAGCTGTAGAGGCTCCATCATTTGATATAATCAATGTTGAGTTAAGCAAATTTTTGAACAACAATGTGCAAAAGGCTTTGGGGCAGCCAAGAAAGTCAAGTTTTCGCCAGAGTCAGTTCAGTTGGATTCTATTGAATGGCAAAGCAAGCCTAGGGGTCAAGTGGTCTACTCTTGCTCATATTTCTTACACTACTCACAATACCCCATCCTAAGATTTTGCAATCACTGCACCATTGAAATGTACATTTCCCCACATCTCACAAGCCAACTATTTAACCATATCAGGCACATTCTAAACATATTTCATAAGACCTCTAATATATGCTTCTTTCCCATAGGCGAAGTCACCGGCAACTTCGTCAGTATACTACCATCAGAGGAGGCTGCACCCACCTGTGTGCCCCCTCTTAGTGGAAGAAAAATTGCTCCATCATGGACGAGAACTAAGCAGTCATCATCATGGCAAGTCACAATACCTGAGACGATGTTAATGATGAGTCTCTTCACACGTTATCCATATCTCTCTTCACTTCCATTTTACACTATGCACTCCTCATGCCAAACTCTGATTGCTTTTATGAACCATTTCTTTCTCTTGCATTCTTTCATGAATATATCTACCTTTGTGTCTCCCTTTCATTTCAGGTGTTGAAAATGTAGATTTATATGTGCCACTTTAAGATGAGGATGCCAGCCTTCCTGAAGATGCAGCAATATACAATTTGATTATTGCAAGCACAATCTCAGATACTGGTAAAATGCATAATTTAGATGTTACAGTAGGGGATGTGGCTTCCTGCAGTGAATCACCAGGAGAAAATCTGCAGGAGCTAGGGCAAGTGATAAGAATGCAAGGTCACTAGATGATGATCACCTATATTGGGTCTGCTATACGGGCTTTAGATGCAAATTATCAGGGCCCAGCCTACCAAAAGTCATATGGACACATGCCAGGAAATGTTTGGTGCACTAGTTAGCATGCCAGTTGGTTTGCTCCCAATGGCTCGCACTATTGAAGCATTCAATTCCAATCTGTGCCAAAGCTTCATATAAAACTCAAGAACCATTCTGTCCAATGTGGATTGAGCAGTCCAACAATTGTGCTTACTGTGATGTTGCCTGTAATGACAACTCTGATTCTTTCCATGAACGTTCAGGTGACTGTCATCTTAGTTTTGAGAGCCAGGGGCTTCCAGGGTTCTGCTTCACTTCTGTTGTCTGAGTCCTGAAGAAGGGTGTAAACCCAAAAGGTCAACTTTCCTGCTCCTATGCTGCCTGGCCTGCTGTGTTCCTCCAGCTCCACACTGTATTGACTCTTTCTTCTCTATGCTTTTTATCCCCCTCCTGCTGCACTTCCTAGATGTTGATAAAGGCTAGTTCTCTATGATAACTATGCTGGAGAGAATGCAGCAGAGGACCATAAAGCTGAAAAACCAGTCAAGATTGTTAAACAAAATTCCACCCAGTATTCAGAAAAAAAACACATTGCTTGGGGCACTGGTGGCAAGATAGTTCTTATTGGTTATTGAACAACTTTTCCAGGATTCCTCACAGGAGTCATGAACCAAGTCAGACAGTAATATCCTTTGCAAGCTGGTAACTAACATTTGGTTTGGACAAAGGGAACAGAAGGGACTGAAAATGTGTTCAAAATTCACGATCGCTAGCTGAAAATTAAACACAGACCTGAACAATGTGCCTTTTCTTTTGTTGCAAACAAACCAGGCATCTGGAATCCTTTACAATGCAAAAGATGCCAGACTGCTGATGGAAAGCCCACGAGGAAATGTAGATGCTGTTTTTGGCACCATGCAACCTGGGGAAATATGCAATGCAGCTAAAACATTATTTAGAAACTGTTTGCCTAATGCTCTTCAGATACGTTAATGATCATTATGTCCACAAAGAGAAATTTATACCATTTTATAACATCTTCATAGTTAACGATCTTGCACTGCTTGTATCCTGTGGTTCTTCGATTTCTTTGTTCTAATGGTTATTCTATTCTTACCAACTTTCCAGTCCAGGTTTTGTTTCTACTTTACTAATTTACTAATTTTCATTAGTTTTATATGTGTTTTCTATTGTAAAGAACATCACCGCCAATTAGTTGTTGTTGTTATGTAGACAAATATTACTGCAACATTGCAAAGGTACTGCAACTGTTGTTTTTAGTGAAGAAATGTATGTTGACCAAGAAACTGGCAGAATTTTTCCATGTAATATTCCACATCCAGATACTTAGCCAGAAATAGCTACTTTGTTTGCAAAAGCCAGTAAATTCCAGTTCTCCTCTGTACTGTTCCTCTTACATTGTGTGCTAATAGAGGATTTAAAAGCGTGACCTCCTAGTTCGTAGGAGCGCTACCACTGAGCCAAGCTAGCTCTTTAACTGCAAGTTTTGTATATATGCTTCATAGTAACACATCTAGTTGAACAAAACTATCGAGGCGTTGTCTGTTGATTAATTTGTACCACTTTTTCCGACTGTCTAGGTGCAGTTCCTTCTTGGTTAAAGGGTAGTCTTCTACGATGTGGTCCAGGTTTATTTGAGGTAGGCTCCGAGCCATTTTATCATCTATTTGACGGACAAGCTCTTCTTCACAAATTTGACTTCAAGAATGGAGAAGTCACCTATTACAGACGGTATTGTACAATTTAAATATTTCATGTTTTCTGATATTAAGTGCTTCCACAAATTTCTTTTAGAAAGTACAGTCTCAGTAGATTTTAGTAATTCTGCTGGAAATATACAAGGTGAACAATATCACAAAAACATGGGAGTCAATTTTGAATAAGTATAAGTGACTTGTTTCTTTGGAAAAAAGTTATTTTATTTCATTCTGAATGGCACCATACACAATATTATCTTCATAATTAAACAAATCATGATGACTTAGCCCTTCTTAATTTTTCCCAAGACATTTTGGATGACCTCAGCCAAAACTTTGCTGGGGAATACCTCAGGGCAAGGAGATGGAAAAAGGTCAGCCTTCATACACCGACTCTTAACTATTTATTCAGCAAGCCTCGACTGGAAAGCAAATGTATAAAAGGAATAGGTTTGAGCACAGCTCTGCTCTGCATGATAAAGTCTTGGGAACACATGAGTAACTACTTGCCAATTAGTTTCCACTCCCTAGAAATGGCTGCCCAACTGCTTTATCTCTCCTTAAATTCCACCATTAATCAAGATTTTGGCCTCACTTTCAAATATCTTTTTATTTATACTCCACTCTTTTTTTCCCCATGGCTCTGTGAAATGAAGTGCCTTGAAATGTTTTATATAAATGTAGGTCTTCTTATTGTTAGTGATTATGTACAAGCACTTATTGTCTTCACACAACACTCAGCTGTTCAGTGTTTTAATGCAGTTGTTAATGCACTTAAAACAAATGAGCACATATCTGCAGTAGCATAGTAGAGGGCAAGATTGTATTTAGTGTTAAGCATTTGTTAATCAACATCATTATCAATTACTTTATTTGATAAATTGCAATTATTTAGACAGAGAATTTTGCTTTCTTCATAGGTTTATTCAAACCGATGCTTATGTGAGGGCCATGACTGAGAAACGAATAGTAATCACTGAATTTGGTACTTTTGGTTATCCTGATCCATGCAAGAACATCTTCTCCAGGTTATAGAAATAATTTTGCTACTATTTAATTTGGAGTCTTTGTTTTGGGAAATGTGAATACCTGAGATGTGAGAAAAATGCACAGCGATTTTTAAAAGAAAAAGAACAAACAGAAGTAATGGATGGTGTGAAAATTGCTAGGCAGAATATACTGGAAAGACTGCACATCATTACAGCGCATTGTCATCTGATCCAGATAGCTTGTATCCCAGGAAATGGGATGGAGATAGCAGAAGCACTTGCATAGTCTTCCAATCTAGGGAAGGGTCAGAGGATTAGAGTATGACAAATGTGACATCTCTATTCAAGAAAGGGTGTAAGGACAATTCTCAGTTACTACAAACCAGTCAGTTTAACATTAGAGTTAGGTCAGGAAAAAAACATCAACAGGCGCGTGAAGAGATCTGCGTTCATTAAAGAGAGCTAGTGGGTAGTTGACATCCTTTTATTGCAGAGAGATGATAGGAATGTATTTTACGAACATTGTTGATGTCAGGTAAAATCATCTGCACTCATTTTGATGGCTGATCAGTGAAACAGTGGTGTTCCCCAAACATCAATGCAAGAGCATTGCTTTATTAAAGACTTTGACTTTGGAATACAGTGTAAAATTTCAAAATTTTCTGACAATACCAAACTTAGAGATGCCACAAGCGATATATCCTGCAGAATACAGGGCTAATGGCAGGATTCTTGGCAGTGTGGAGGAACAGAGGGAACTTGGGGTCCACGTCCATAGATCCCTCAAAATTGCTACCCAAGTTGATAGGGTTGTTAAGAAGGCGTATAGTGTATTGGCTTTCATTGGCAGGGGTATTGAGTTTAAGAGCCGCGAGGTTATGCTGCAGCTCTATAAAACCCTGGTTAGACTACACTTGGAATATTCTGTTCAATTCTGGTCCCCTCATTATAGGAAGGATGTGGAAGCTTTAGAGAGAGTGCAGAGGATATTTACCAGGATGCTGCCTGGACTGGAGGACAGGTCTTACGAGGAAAGGTTGACGGAGCTAGGACTTTTCTCATTGGAGTGAAAAAGGATGAGAGGTGACTTGATAGAGGTGTACAAGATGATGAGAGGTATAGATAGCCAGAGACTTTTTCCCAGGGCAGAAATGACTATTACGAGGGGGCTAAATTTTAAGGTGATTGAGGAAGGTGTAGGGGAGATGTCAGAGGTAGGTTCTTTACACAGAGAGAGGTGGGTGCGTGGAATGCGCTGCCGGCGGTGGTAGTGGAGTCAAATACATTAGGGCCATTTAAGCGACTCTTGGATAGGCATGTGGATGATTGTAAAATGTAGGGTATGCAGGGTACTTTGATCTTAGAGTAGCATAATAGGTCGGCACAATATCATGGGCCAAAGGGCCTGTACTGTGCTGCACTGTTCTATGTTCTATGTTCTACATTCAATGAGGAGAATAGCAATTAACTGCAAAAGGATATAGGCTAGCAGAATGGGCAAACAGCTGTTGGGTAGAATTTAATACAAAGAACTGTAAACTGACATGATTTGGCTGAAGGGATAGGGACCTGGGGGATCATGTGCATGAGTTATTGAACCTATGAATCTCACTTCCTGAGAAAGTATTTAACAATACATATGGGATTTGGGGTTTCATAATTACAGACATTGAGGACAGAAGCAAGGAAAAAATAACAAAGAACTAAGAACAATACAGCATAGGAACAGACCCTTTGGCCCACCAAGTTTGCGCCAACACATGATGCCTTTCTAAACTAAAAAACTTTTGCCTCTACACAATCCGTATCCCTCTATTTCCTGCCTATTCATAGATCTGTCAAGATGCCTCTTAAACATTGCTACTGTATCCGTCTCCACCACATCCTCTGACAGCACATTCCAGGCACTTACCACCCTCTGTGGAAAAAACTTGCCTCTCACATCTCTTTTAAACTTCCCCCTTTTTTTACCTTAAATCTGTCTCCACGAGTAACTGACATTTCTAACCTGGGAAAAAGACTCTGACTATCTATTCTATCCATGTCTCTCATAATTTTGTAAATTTGTATCAAGTCCTTTGACATTCGAGTGAAAGCAAACCAAGTTTGTCCAATCTCTCCTCATAGCTAATGCCCTCCAAATTAGGTAACAACCTGGTAAACATTTTCTGTACCCTCTCCAAAGCCTCCACATCCTTCTTGTAGTGTGGCAACCACAACCGTACACAAAATTCCAAATGTGGCCAAACTAAAGTTCTATACAGCTGCAAAATAACTTGCCACTTTTTATGCCCCAACCAATGAAGGTAAGTGTGCAACATGCCTTCTTGACCATGTTTATTGACTTGTGTTGCTACTTTCAGGGAGCTGTGGACTTGTATGCCTATATCCTACTGTATGTTAATGCTGCGAAGGGTTGTGTCATTTATTGCATACTTTGCTCCTGCATTGGATCTTCCAAAATGCATCACCTCATATTTGTCCAGATTAAACTTCATCTGCCGTTTTTCCACCCAAGTGTCCAGCCTAGTTATATTCTGCTGTATGCTCTTGCAATACTTCTGTGCAATCTTATGAATCAGGTCACCCACATTTTCCTCCTAATCACTCTATGTATATTATAAACAACAGGGGTCCCAGCACTGATTCCTGTGGTACAACGCTGGTCACTGATCTCCAGTCAGAAAAACACCCTTCCACTGCTGTCTTCTATGACTAAACCAGTTCTGTATCCATCTTACTAGTTCACTGCTAATCCCATGTGAATTCACCTTTTATATCAGCCTGCCATAAAAAAACCATAATGGATGCCTTACTAAAGTCCAAACAGACAGCATCGACTGCCCCCACTTCATCAATGATCTTTGTCATTTCCTCAAAAAACTGAATCAAGTTTGTGATGCAAGACTTTCCATAAGAATCTTCTCCAATAATTTCGCTACAACTGATATGTCTCCATGTAATTTCCAGAATTATCCCTTCTTAACAAAGCAACAATGTTGGCTATTCTCCAGTCTTCCAGAGTTTATTAAAATATACAAGACCCTGAGGAGCCTTGACAAGGTGTGCACTGAAAGAATGTTTCTTATGGGAGAGATTAGGACCAGTATAAAGGTGAGGTGTTGCAGAGATAGTAGGAACTGCCAATGCTGGAGAATGTGAGACAACAAGGTGTAGAGCTGGATGAACAACACAGGACAAGCAGCATCAGAGGAGCAGGAAAGCTGATGTTTAGGGTCTGGATCCTTCTTCAGAAATGGGGGAGGGGAAGGGGATTCTGAAATAAATAGGGAGAAAGGTGGAGGCAGATAGAAGATGGATAAAGGAGAAGATAGGAGGAGAGGAGACAGACAGGTCAAGGAGGCGGGATTGGAGCCAGTAAAGGTGAGTGTAAGTGGGGAGTTATGGAGGGGATAGGTTGGTCCAGGGAGGGTGGACAGGTCGAGGCGGGATGAGGCTAGTAGGTAGGAGATTGGGGTGCAGCTTGAAGTGGGAGGAGTGGATAGGTGGGAGGACAGGTTAGGGAGGTGGGTACAAGCTGGGCTGGTTTTGGGAAGCGGTTGGGGGAGGGGAGATTTGAAGCTTGTGAAGTCCACATTGATACCATTGGGCTGCAGGGTTCCCAAGCAAAATATGAGGTGCTGTTCCTGCAACCTTCGGGTGGCATCATTGTGGCACTGCAGGAGCCCCAGGATGGACATGTCGTCCAAGGAGTGGGAGGGGGAGTTGAAATGGTTTGCAACTGGGAGGTGTAGTTGTTTGGTGCGAACCGAGCATAGGTGTTGCGTAAAGCGGCCCCCAAGCCTCCGTTTGGTTTCCCCAATGTAAAGGAGGCCACATCTGGAACAGAAGCTTCACAAGCTTCAAAATCTCCCCTCCCCCAACCGCATCCCAAAACCAGCCCAGCTCGTACCCACCTCCATAACTTGTCCTCCCACCTATCCACTCCTCCCACCTCAAGCCGCACCCCAATCTCCTATCTACTAGCCTCATCCCGCCTCCTTGACCTGCCTGTCCTCCATGGACCGACCTATCCCCTCCCTAACTCCCCACCTACACTCACCTTTACTGGCTCCAACCCCACCTCCTTGACCTGTCTGTCTCCTCTCCTCCTATCTTTTCCTTTAGCCATTTTCTATCTGCCTCCCCCTCTCTCCCTATTTATTTCAGAATCCCCTTCCCCTCCCCCATTTCTGAAGAAGGGTCCAGACACAAAACGTCAGCCTTCCTGCTCCTCTGATGCTGCTTGGCCTGCTGTGTTCATCCAGCTCTACACCTTGTTGTCTAAAGATGAGGTGTATTCCATTTAAGACAGAGATAAGGACTTTTTTTTCTCAGAGGAACACGAGTCTGTGAAACTCTTTTCATGAGAGATCATTGGAGACAGGGTCAATGAATATTTTTAGGGCAGAGGTAGATAGATTTTTGACTAACTAGGTATTTAAAAGTTCTTGGCGTTAGGAGAGAAATGGTATTGAGGCTCCAATCAAATCATCAGTAGTCTTATTGCATGGCGGAACAGGCTTGAGGGGTCAAATGGCTTAAATCTGTTCCTAATTTGCATGCTCACATGTAGTTTGACTGAGACTGATTTTTTTCCTCTACTTGCATGTGATTTGCAGTTCATTTTCTTCCAGTTGGCCCCTGTTCTGTCACATTCTCAAGCTTCCAGGTTAAGCTTTTTTGGTGGTGCAACCATCAGCCCACCAGGATTTTGGTCGGGATCATCAGTGACTTTCTAGTTGCTTTTATTGCCTGTGGGCTTTCCAAACTCTGTCGGGTCACTATTACAAATATAGATTGAGATTTTTTAGTTTTCAACATCACTTGTCACTCTTATAAGCTGACCTCATGAGCAGTTACTAGACTCAAAACATTGACTCTGGTCTCTTCCCACAGATTCTGTCAAATGTGCTGAGTTTTGCCAGGCATTTGTGTTTTTGTTTCAGATTTCCAGCATCTGCAGTTCTTTGTTTTAGTCTTGTATTTCCTGTATTTTCTGGAGAGCACCCTATTGCTTCATATCTAGATATTTAAGAAAATAAATCTGGGGTCCTTAACATTAAAGCCTCGTGTTTGTACTTTTCACTGTGATTTCACCTGGGCCATCATAATGCTACCTCCTGGGCATAATTATATATTAACTATCATTCAACAAGCCAGATACATTATCAAATTTAAACAGTGACACTATAGAATTTACTGTTTTACAAACTATTTTCTAGAAAGTAAGCTTTGTCTTGAATTCACTCCCAATGGCTCTTGATGACGAGGTGCTTATGGAGAATTCTGGGTTGCCTTGCAAGATGTCATTTCTGAGATGAAAGTGCTTAATCCAGAATTTTCTAATTGTAATATTTTCCAATATCTTTTTTTTAAACATCTTATTTATCTTCATTTCAGATTTTTTTCCTACTTTGAAGGTATTGAAATCACTGACAATGCTCTAGTAAATGTGTATCCCATTGGAGAAGATTATTATGCCTGCACTGAAACCAACTACATCACAAAGATCAACCCAGAAACATTGGAAACAATACAAAAGGTTATTAAGTCCTGCTTATAATACATTGTTATGATTGGGTGATTTGAATCAGGGCATTCATAATGAATGCAGTAAGCATGTCGTTCTGTTGTTGTAGAGATTTTTTCATCTACTGCACTTCAAATCAGTTGAACAATTATCACATAGTTGTAACATGGAATGGATTTACTTCATTTTCTTCCCACCAGAGGTACAATAAGTGCGTCAATTATTTTTGCTTTAGTGCTGCATAAATTGAATGTTATCTTACCTTCGAAACATACAATTAAGAAGGATGGAATGAAAAATGCTATTTCACCTACTTAACTGAGTCAGATGTGAAATTGCTTAACTTAAAACATTAACTAATATGCATTGATTTATTGTATAAAGAACAGCATGACTCACAATATTGCTACATTGTGGCACTGGCACTGTATTGCTATCTTCTTAATAAGATCATTAGCACTGTGCATCCAGATCCGTAAGTGATTATTATGGCACTGCTGTTAGAGAGTCGATCATATTCAATTGAAAATGTTTTTTTACAACAAACCATCTCGGGTTCTGTCTCACTCAAGGAACACACAGGGATGAAAATTCAATGCTGTTGCTTATACAGAACAGACATAAGAATATCTAACTTAGTATAGGACACATATCCATGGGAATTTGAGCCAGTACTAAACTGGTTCTACTTTTTTTTTCGGGAGTCAGTTGCCCGAAAGAGGCAAAATTGAAATGAAGTACCTGCAACTATTTTGACTTCAACTAGCATGTCAAAATGGTGATCACCCATGATCTTATTGAATGGCAGAGCAGGTTCAATGGGCTGAATGACCAACTTCTCCTATGCCTTTTGGTCTTACAGCGCCGCCTTTTCAAATGTTTTGAAATTGACCTCTGCAGGCTGCTCAATTGAAGATTTTAAGACTTCAGAAATAGTCATTTTTGTAGAATTGGATGGCAACAATGTGTGCTTATCATTGCCGTGACTTCTTACTGAGTCAACCACACTGCTATATTTTTGGAGTCACATATAAGTGATTAATTAATGATTCCTGTTATGGTGTGGTTTGAAACTGACTTTGTAGATTAAGTTGTAGGTGCAAATTAATTTCTAAGCTTTACTTCCTTTCAGACCAGCTTAATAGATGGACAGTACATTTTGCTTTGGAAGCTTTGGTTCACCTTTATTGTCATTAAATTCTCTTAATTCACTCATTACGAGTTATCTAGACCGCAGACTTCTCTTGATATATGGAACTCAATGTACTTATTCTGTTAATTTTAACATTCAGTCATCTTTGCTGCACTTTAGCATTTTAGAAGATATTGCTGCATTCATCATCAAACCATCTTAATATTCATTCTCATGCAGAACGGTAGCAACACAGTTACCAAAATATGGCTTTATTGTTGTTTTGAAGATAGGAAAAGGAGCAGGCCATTCAGCTCCTTAAACCTGTTTTGCTTCTATTCTATGTACAATCATTGATCTGTACCTCAATTCCTTTGATCCATGTGCATATGTTAGCCTCAAGAAAGTCAGTCAATCTCAGAATTGAAAATGCCACAGTCTTTTGGAAAGGGAGTTCTGGATTTCCAGTACATTTTAGGTGAAAAAAGAGCTTCCTAATTTTACCTCTGAATGGTTGAGCTCTGATACTCGTTTAATCCTTAATTCTAGATTCCCCTGCTCCAAAGAAATGTTTCTCTGAAGCCACCCAATTTGATCTTCTTTATAATCCTTTTAAAAACTTGAAATAAATCATGATAGTAGGAACTGTAGATGCTGGAGAATCCGAGACAACAAGGTGCAGGGCTGGATAAACACAGCAGGCCAAGCAGCATCATAGGAACAGAAAGGCTGACGTTTCGGGCCTAGACCCTTCATCAGAAAAGGGGGAGGCGAAGGGGGTTCTGAAATAAATAGGGAGAGAGTGGGAGGCGGATAGAAGATGGATAGAGGAGAGGATAGGTGGAGAGGAAACAAACAGGTCGAAGAGGCGGGGATGGGGCCAGTAAAGGTGAGTGTAGGTGGGGAGTTAGGGAGGGGATAGGTCAGTCCAGGGAGGACGGACAGGTCAAGGGGGCGGGATGAGATTAGTCGGTAGGAGATGGGGGTGCGGCTTGAGGTGCGAGGAGGGGGTAGGTGGGAGGAAGAACAGGTTAGGAAGGCGGGGACGAGCTGGACTGGTTTTGGGATGCGGTAGGGGGAGGGGAGATTTTGAAGCTTGTGAAATCCTGCAGTGCCACAACGATGCCACCCGAAGATTGCAGGAACAGCAACTCATATTCCGCTTGGGAACTCTGCAGCCCAATGGTATCACTGTGGATAAATAATGTGGATGACATAAAGCAGTTAGGGTGCCAAGAGAGTGAGGGTGTTAAAGTGCCAGGTGAGTGGATGAGGGCTTGGGGCACATCAAGGGATCAGGTTGGATAGGTGTCAGTTGTGGCACGGGTGAGGGTTAAGGAGAGAGGGAATGTCTTCAAAGTGATAGGTCAGGGAGCGGTATCGAGTTCCGAGGTGTCAGGGGCCTGGGGATATCAGTGGTGAGTTGGAGGTTCACTTTAATAGTTGCCCAGGAGTTTGAGCAGGTTTTCATCCTCATAATATTACCTACATTACATTTAAACTCAGAGTTCAAACCCTGTGAATTCTCCAAATTTCAGAGAATTCTTTTTGCCAGATGCAGAGTAATTGTCCATTTGAATGATGAATTTACTGAGCAATTTCCTTGGAGTCAGCTGCATCAGGATTTCTGCATGTAGCCAATAGACAGCTCCAATTTATGCTGCTGCAGTGACTACCTGGTCATTGGAATATTTGGGCCAAGAGATTTTGAGGGGACATAACAGGATAGATGCCAAGAGACTATTTCCCTAGATGGTGAGTCCAGAACTAGGAGCTATAGTCCCCAGAATAATGGATTGATCATTTAGCACTTGGGTAAAGAAGAATTTCTTCACTCAAGGGTTGTGAATTTTGGAATTCTTCATCCCTGAGGGTTGTGAATGTGCTGTCACTGAGTTATTCATGGCTAAGATTGATCGATTCATGTAATCTGGGAGAAATCAAGGAAAATAGAATCAAGCAGAAATTGAGATCAAATACTAGCCTTTTTTTTAATTCATTCATGGGATCTGGCTTTCAGTGGCTGGGCCAACATTTATTGTACATCCCTAATTGCTCTTGAGAAAGGCTGGTGAGTTATTCCTTTGATATATTTCCAAGTCAAGGTGGTGAATGGCTTGGAGGGGAACTTGCAGGTAGTAATATTCCCAAGTGTCTAACGTGTTTGTCTTTCTAAATAGCAATGGTCATGAGTTTGGACAGTATTGTTCAAAGAACTTTGGTGAATTTCTGCAATGCATCTTGTAGATGGTACACACTGTGGCTACAGTGTGCCTCAATGGAGGGAGTGAATGCTTGAGGATGTGGTAACAATCAAGCAAGCTTCTTTGTCCTGGATGGTGTCAAGCTTCTTGTGTTGTTGGAGCTGCACCATCCAGACAAGTGTGGAGTATTCCATCACATTCCTGACTTGTGCATTGTAGATGGTGGACAGACTTTGGGGAGTCAGGAGGTGAGCTACTCGCTGCTGGATCCCTAGCCTCTGGCCTACTCTCATAGTCATGGTACTTATGTGGTAATTCCATTTCAGCATTTAGTCAATGGTAACCACTAGAATGTTGATAGAGTGGGGTTTAGCAATATCATAGAATATTTAAAGGCAATGATTAAACTTGTTCTTCTTGGAGAGGATCTTTGCCTGGCACTCATATGTTGTGAATGTTACTTGCTACTTATCAGCCAAACCAGGATATCATTTAGGTCTTGCAGCATATGGACATGGTTTGCTTCAGGAACTTAGGAATTGCTAATGGCAGAGCAGGCTGAAAGCACTGTGTGACTCAACTTGTTACTATATGTTGTGCTGTGACGTTTGTCTTTTTAACCCTTGTTTTTCTGACCTATAGTTATCTGTGTACAGCTGTTATGTAACTTTTTCTTAATTTCTCTATTCTGTGACTGAAGATTGTACCTAGGTACTCTGTCCCTAAGGTTGTGCTGTAAGTGGTGACTTATAAACTTTAAACTGTACTCATTTGAGTACATGTGACAATAAAGCTAATTCATAGAGTCATAGAGATGTGTAGCAAGGAAGCAGAGATAGTAGAAACTGCAGATGCTGGAGAATCTGAGATAACAAGGTGTAGAGCTGGATGAACACAGCAGGCCAAGCCCCA